GCTGCTGCCAAAAATAATAAGGGAATTGCAAGTCCGGTGTCACAGCCAGCTTTAAACATTAATTCATCCTCTGATTTTGTTTACTAAGTTCTAAGATCTCTGCTTTTACTTTTCTGTAATCACAGTCTTTGCTGAAAGAGGATCTTGGGGATGTATGCAGGAGCATTCTTTCTCAAAATAGGAATAGACCAAAAATTAAATCACCCTACCATATAAATGGAGGAGTGAATTCCACATAAAGGCAGAATTAGAATGCTGATTGAAAGCAAACATAGAAAGAAAAAAAAAAAAAAAGAAAAAGCTATATCCTTTATTTAATAATGGGTTTTCATCACAGTTTTCAAATGTAATCTTCTTTAGCCACACATTATGGTTTAAAAAACGTGATGAAACTCCCCAGGTGTGGGAGTTACAATATAGACTATCAAGGAAAACAATATATAGACAGATAAAAATCAAAACAGAGAAAGACAATCTATTCAATCATTTACATAAGGCTGTATTACCTTATGATTTTTCCCAAATATCATTCCCTGTAATATCAGAGATTAGTTTTCTCCATAGGATAGTACTTTTAGAGGCAATCATCTACCAATTAGTATTAATTAAGATCATAAAAGATGAAGTATTGTATAGGAAGCAACTCTCTAGGGTGAGAAATATGAAAGCATCTGTCTGCTTAATGGCTTGAATCCTGTCTGAGCACTCAAGCCCACCCTTCTATCAGCATCCACACAGGCAGTCTCTTGCATCCTGTACTCAACCTGGTTCTTTTCTTGCTTTTCAGTTTAGAAATGGAGCCTGAGACACTGATTTCAGACATCCCACTGCAAGAATTTGGACCATGTTGCAAAATGGATCCCCTGTTTCCAGGCGTTGCTGATTACTTTTAACTTCAAGACTGAAAAATTCCTTCAAGCAAGGAAATCTGAGGGTAGTTGTGAGCTAGGAACATCTATTGGTAGGTCCTTCAGCTCAGAAATTTTCTTTCCCCTTCCAGTCACATCCTGAAGATCAAGGTGGTCCCTGCACACTGCAAGTGTGTCCTTGGTGCACTTGTTATCAGGGGAAAACAAAAAAAGGAGGGAAACTGGAAAAAGAAAGCGGAAAATCTACAGATCACAAACGATGATAACAATAGGGAAGGAGATTAAACAGGATCTTTGGTAGGGGGATCTAAGCCACCATCAGTCCCAGAGATAACATCCAATAAGCTGCAAAGAGCTGACAACAAATGTCACAGCCTTGTGCCAGGGCAGCCAAGCCCCTCGAAGTGAGAGGTGCCAGAGAGTGCTGATGCCCTCAGTGTCCTGACAGAGAGTCCAAACCTTCTGTGGAGATGTCAGGGACAGGTGAGCAAGGTTCAGGAGAAAGACAGTTCTCATATATACATATACTGGAGGAAGGGGTGAAAAGATAGGTCAGTTTATTTGTAGAAGATTCTAGTGTCAAAACCACTAATTTGGAAGGAGAACATCAGCCAGCAGGTTGGACTGCATGCTGGGCAGAAAGCAATGAGGAAGATGAAAGGAAAAAATAACAAAAGGAAGCAGCAACTAATGAAATCTGAAGAGTTAGAGATGCATGTCCCTGACATGGAGAGGTCTAAATGTGTGTAAGAGGAGAGTGGAGATGGGAGTTCATGCAGGCAGAATCTGACATCAAATACTGACTCTGTCTATTGTCTAAAGTTGTTGAAACCCCACCCTAAAGAAAGCATGCTTTTACAGAGACACTCTTCTAACAATTTCTTCACTTCAAACACTTAACAAAAGAAATTCAGGAGGAAACTTTTTAAAATCGTGCTGGAAGTAAACACTTATATTATTGTTAAAGCAGGTATCACTTGAGTTTCTTTTCATTTTCTAAATCCCAGAAACAGTGTGAAATCAGAATATAAAAGAGAGAAAGAGCTCATTGCTAGAAGGTCATTTAAACAAGGAGCTTCTTAAGAGATGCAAAGTGACTTCAGTATTATGTAATCCCAGTCACTCAGCAGGGTGTCAGAGACCTACTCTATTTTAGCAGATATCCCTCCAGACTGTACCAATACCTGAAACACTGCAAAACACTTATTTATGCTTTTGTATTTTACAGTGATCACAAAGAAAAGCCTTCCCTGGTTTCTAGGTGTTAGGAAACAAATTCCATCCAGTTTTGTGAGGCCATCTCTCCCACAAGATGCTCTCGTGAACCCACAGAGCAGAGTCACAAATGCTGGGCCTTATTTGCAGCCATGTAATCCCACTATTCCCTGAAGAGGAAACAACACGTGCAATGGAGATCAAAAACACTTAATGGCAGAGACCCAGATCCCTAGAGACAAACTAACAACAGAATAAATGCTCTGAGTCATGAAATAACTAAAAGGACGACTACAGAAATGAGGTAAAGCCGGAGGCTGACAGAGTTTGGGATTTTTGGCATTAGCAAAGAGGTTAAACAATCAAAAGAAATCTTGTTAAACACCTGTTCCTTGTATTTCCTGCTGTTGCATCTAAGTGTTATTAAAATTCTGTTCTTTCCTTAATTAGTTTTCAGGTTACAGTATCATGTCACCCTCACAGTCAGTATCCTGCTTCTCCTTTTATTCAATCCAGAAGCTGCTCTTCTTTTATTGAGAGCAGGAGACTCTTGGTGTCCCAGTCCTTCACTCATATGCAAATATATACATAGATATAGATACATCTAATACCCCGTAATGCATTTTCTTCATGATCTACAGTAGCTGATACTTTTTAAACATGCTATTCCTGTGCTTGTGAATGATGAGGACCAATATCCAGAAATTTTAAGACACACAAGACAAAAATATTTACTTAAAAATGCTCAGAACAAAAGTACCCTTTAAAAAAAAAAAAAAATCAGCTGTGTCCTGTTTTCTGCTAACAAGCAGGAGAAAAAGAGGTAAAGAAGCTTCACTGATCTCTGGATGCTGAAATTGGCCAGGTCACTTAATCAGGCATGAAATCATTTAGTGTGAACATAAAGGAAAGCTGTAGCTTTCAGTTTTTCCCTCAGTTTTTGAGAGGGCATGGGTTAAGTCAGGTTGTACCCAGAAGACAAGAAGGACAGGGATGAAGGGGGAAGCCCTTGGAAATTGCCCTTGGCTTTTGTCTCTTCCCTCTCGCTTCCTCCCTCCCCTTTCCTTCTTCTGCTCATGTTTGTTCTCCTCACTCGGAGCAGCCTCCATTGAAACTCTGCTCCTACTGTCAGCATCCAGCATTCACCCTGCTTGTACCTACTCTCCTCCCAATCTTTCTGGCACATCTGGAGCCACCTTTTCTATTTTTTCATCAATCCTTCCCTTAACCTGCCAAGCAAATATGTTAGGAAGAAAAATAAACATAATTATTGAATTCTCATTGCCAAGATTCTTAAATGCAGAAATTTCTTTGCCTGAAATGCAGCCTTCACCAGAGTTCAGCAACATCTTCCTCTTTCAAAAGTATCCACATGCTAGTGGGTTTTGTCAGCAGAAGTCATAAAGGTCCTGCACCAACCAGCAGTAAATCTTAGTCATCAGACCAGCATCAGCTGTAGACATTCACTATGTAGGCATTACAAATTATATGTTCAAGTCTGCCAGTGGCTGAAGCCCCACATATTCCATTTGGCCTTGCCCCAGAAATGCAGAGTCTCAACATGCAGGGAGTCACTCTTCTCCCTCTTGTTTCCTGTAAAACAGCCAGAGCAGCAAATGTGACTCTCCCCACCCAGCCTTCCTCCCCACTCTGCAACTATCCTTCCCTCTGACTCCCCAGATCTTGACCAGACCAAACCCCCATCCTTGGGATCAAAGACTTCAACTGTGTCTCCACCACTGATACACCTTGAGCATGTTCAGTCTCAGCTGTTATCATCCCCACTACTAAACCAGGTATTAGTTACTGCAAGATTTTTTCCCACAGCAGAAATCCCATCTCCTCAACTACCCACATGGGTCCTGTGGTATTTAGGAGTAAATCTAATTCCGTAGGCTCTTTGAGCACAAATCATAAACCCAATACCGGCATTAACCACATCCATGCAGACTCTGGCTTGTTAGGAGCCATTTGCCTCATCTCCAGCATTGCTCATCCAAAGTTTTCTTCTGCAGAATCCTTCAAACCCTGAAGGTTATGGTTGAGATGAGAGCTAGCAAAATCCCCCTTTCTTGTCCAACACTGTTCAATTGCTGTGCTCTCTTTCCTGTGTGTCTTGTCCTGGCAAAGCAGCTTGAGAACAAGCCCAGTAGGGCAGAAGAGAATCTTGGCAGGCAAAGAGAAATCCTTCCCAGGCAAAGAAGAGCAGCCATGGGTGCATTTTTCCAAGCCTGCTTCATGTTCCAGTCCCCACAAGCAGATCAGCTGCTGCCAGAGCTGGAGATGGCAGCAGTTGCTAGGAGCAGTTTTGAGGCGGTCACAGTCTCCATGGGAGCCACCCTGGGGCCAGTGCCAGACCTCCTTTGCATCACATGAAGTGAGATACAACAGCGACTATCAGCTCACACATCTCTGTAAACACAGCCAGGTGTTCCAGTCTTGACAGGTGCCACATTGGCTAAGAGAGGCTTCAAACAACAGGGTTTGTCTAAAAATCCTGGGATCTTTCCTGTTTCAATCTCCTTGCTTAGAGGATTTGATATTTTAAGACTATTTTCCTCCCGGCTAGCTGAGCTTGCAGCTCTGCCTTAACTCTCCAGTCAGGATAATGAGACATTTGGTTAGACCTCACCACTTCTGGCTGAGGTTGTACCTTGCTCCAACATTAGAAACTATTTTAAGAGGTAGGAGAAGGGTGTTTAGGAAAGGGAAGAATTACTCATGATTGACAAGTAAGCAGTTCTGTCTTCAGAAGGCAAGGGGGATGATATGAGCCTGAGGTTTAGGACAGGGAAACAATAAAATGAAACACTTATCTGTCTTTTCATTATACATCTAGATTTCTTAAAGATGTTTTTTTTCTCCAAGGGAATCTGAATATGAAACTCTGAGATGTTCTGCACATTTCCTCTTTACCTCACAGCTTTTATCTGAAATTCTGCAGCATCAAATCTTGGCTTCAAATTCTTGAACTGTCCCTAAAAAATAGTGGAAAAATTATAGTGGAGCAAGGACAATAGAATTCTCATAAGAATATAAAAGAAAATATTCTACTACTCCCCAAAAAAATACTCTGTGGGCACTTCCATATTTTCAGTATAAATTTCATTATCTAATCTTCTGCACAAACACTGTGTACTTAAAATCAATAGCATTTTTCCATTTTAAAATGTCCAGATTTTGAAGACTGATCTTTCTTCTACCTCTACATTCCTTTCATTTGCAAGTAAAGGGATGCTGAGGACAATGAAAAATTTGTTTTTTGTTTGCTGGAATAGAGTAAGATCCTGTTTCAAGTATGATTAGTTTCAGTATCTTTGCCTACTTTTATCCCCTCCACTGCACACCCCGTTCCAGCCTCTTCTCCTTCTCTGACCTCTCCTTGCTTACTCTCTGTCCTTGCCCCTGGCAGGGAGGCTGGAACTCAAGCCACTCTAGGATTCTACTGAATGTCCTATTCATTAGTAGGACAGGCAGGGAATGTCATGTCATTGGTATTTGTCTGCTTTGAAGAACTTCTACCACTTCTTGACAGATTGTGTGGATTTTTCCATTAAGAAAGGAACTTTAAAAAAGCACTTTCACCCATTGTTGCTACCCACAGTTTCTTCAAGGCAGGTACTTAAATACTAAGAAGTTTTAGGTCCTAACAAGCTGAAAGCACTTCTGCAGGTCTTGTACTCAGATCAGTATCTCCCCCTCTCTCTTCCCTCTCCTTATTGTGAGATGCTCGGTTTCCCAGAAGTGCTATACATGGTGAATTGAAGAGCTGTATCTTGAAAATTCCCAACTTTTCTGTAATATACATCTTCTCCAGAGAACTGGCAAGCCTAAAAAGTTCAGCTGCAAATACGTCAGCCTGAACCAAAGAGGCGCAGATTGAAGGCGGTGACTCACTAGCTCGCGATGGAGTGGCTTTGTGCACTCAGCTTTTTCCCACATTAAAAAGTTCTAAGAGAAAAAAGTTGTGGGGCTGGAGGCTATTGTGGGGTTTCTGCTCATGTGTAGACTTCTGCTCCGTATTAGCCTCTGGTTTTGTGCAAAATGAAGTAAACCTAGTAAACCTTTTTCACAAGAAATTATATTTAATAAACTCCTTAGCCTATCACCCATTTTTTCTTGGAATTTGCCAATATAGGCTCAAATGGGCACAGATACCTCCACCAACTCCACGAAGGAATAAAAAGAAAATTTCTGTAGAGAAAGTGATCTGACAAATGTGCACATTTATTTAAGCCTGGAGAAACCGGATGAGGTGCAAGTGACCATCCTTAACATTGAAAACTTACCTGGTTTCTGACCCATAGTGAAAGAGAGCACTGGCAAATTTCAAATCTTTCCACAGAGAATGGATGACAGGTAGTGCAGCTATCTCAGCATCTGGAGCAAATGAAAAATTAAGTGGTTTCACCCACAGCAAAAGTTGAGCCATTAAGATTTTGCAGCCTGTAGTTGGAGTGGGATGAATTAATGTTTTTGTCTGAGAATAAATAATAGCAGCAATGGTCTGTGACTTACACTGGAATATGGTAATTACCATGCTGGATCACAGTGGTACCTCACCTTTAATCAAGAGCAGGCAGAACACTAAACTGGTCACCCTGGGCTGGAAAAGGACAAGGAAGAGAAAGGCATTTTCTACATTTGGTACTTGAACTAGAACTGTGTGGTTTTCAAGCCCTAACACATCATTTTGAAACTAAACCCTACGGTGAAGCGTGGGCTCTTTTAAAGGATAGAAAGATACGGTTCAGTGCACAATTCGGCAAAAGACTTTGGAGAGCTTGTCCTTGAAAATGTTGTAGAAAAATCTAGACATCTTTACCTAAATCTGTGGTCTCTCTATTTGATAATTTTTTTACCCCACAATGTAAAAGAAAGCTGGCTATTTCTCCCTCCACTATCTTTTAAAGAGAAATGCAATTACTTTTGTGCAACTTTCAGATACAAAGCCAAAATAAAGAGTGTGCAGCATTTTCAAAATTCCCTTATTTCTATGGCATTAAAAATTGATTTATTCATAAAAGTCCTATTTTTCCTCATTTAATTACAAACATCTCTACAATGTTCTCAAATACATCAACAGAAAACATTCTGCATGCAGAAAGTTAGAATTGATTTATAACTACATATTAAAATGATGTGCCTGAGATGTAATCTCAGCCAGGCTGCCAGTGAATTTTCTTAAACTGACCCAGCTTTTGGATATGGCTTAAAGGTTGGGGTGCTGAAACAAAATGTAATTTAGCAGAATGCACAGCAATTCTTTGCACATCACCATTAAACACATCTCTTTCAAAGGTACCTCTGAGAGCAGCATCCTTTGGAGCTGCATTCATCAGGGCCTCACAAACACTAGCCAGTTCTGAAAATATTGAGTAAAAGTTGAGATTCTTAAATTGACTTCAATTGAAAGCAGCAGTGAAGGATAACATAAACATTTATGTTAGGCCTTCTCTAAAAGAAAAACATAATCAGTCCCTTTAGTGGCCCTGCTGTACCCATCACCATTTCTGTGTTTCACAACTAGAACTCTTCCCCAAAAACTCTTCCAGCAGCAGCACCTGCATCAGGAAGAAAGGAGTTAAATAGTCTCAACATGTTTTTGTAAGCCAGCATGGTGTCCAGAACCCCAAACTCTGAGATTAAAGATGAACATCAAAGTTGTCTGTCTACCAAAGGGTTGCCAAGCCTCTGATAGAGCTTATGGCAAGATTCCCTTTCATTTTCCAAGAACTTTGTCTCTTTTAAGTCTTGCATCACCAATAGCTATACTTTAAAAGAGAATGACTATTTCAGGAAAGTTGGAGCCATATGATAACTTTGCTAAAAGAATGTTACATAGGACTGAAAGGCTGCCTGTTCTAGAGACATGACCTTTTGATATGTAAAACATTTGTCTGTGAAAAAGACAGCACACAGTTATACCACTCCAGAAGCAACATACACATTTTTTTAATCCCATACTTAGTTCTTTGTCTGTTAATCCCTGCTTTTCCTCACTAAAGGTGCTCTGCTTGAGCCATTAAATGGCAAGAAACCTAATCCATTTTAGCAACACAGCTTTCACAGAGAGATACTGGCGTGCATCATAAACTTAGATGACCAAGAGCCATCAGGTTACATCAACAAGTCTATTAATATGATGCTAAAAATGTTATTTGCCTGAGAAGACCAAGGCGTTTCATTATTTCCTTAAGTAAGTCACAGATTGTTCTCCAAATGAGTTTGAAAAAGAGATTTTTATCCCCAAAATGAGAGCCCAAAACTTGTCTCAGGAGAGACAGACAGAGATGTGGAATTGTGGTTACAACTTTGTTGGCAGTGAAGAAGGTAGTTTTACTGAATATATCTTTATTAATTAAAATAAACATTCTTTCTTCTTGAAAGTGAAGTTCGGGTTTTATTTTCAGTCTTAATCATCCTTTTCAGTTTCCTAATCTGTCAAGGTTTGACAGACAAGTCCTGAAAACTGTGACAAAACTCTGTGGCTTCCATTAGAAGTCTGAAGATAATTCAATTCACTCTGGCTCATCTTTACCACTTTTTGGAACTCTTGAGTCACTTTTGACCTTGTAGCAAGGCCTGCAGAATGTAGAATTGTTTTTTAAAGTAGATGAAAGGCCATTTCCATTAAATTTCCTCTACTTACGTGACTCACTGAGGAATGATCCCTACAGAAGAGTGTAAAGGAACTCTGACTACTTGGCTTTCCTTATTGTGTCTTATCTTCTCAGACTTCAACCTTTCAAAGAATGCTAGGGCTAGAGCAAAATGTTCTTCCAAGTAGTTCACAGCCCTAGATGGGAACTTACAGGTTCTTTATGACACAACTTTCATTTCCATGAGAAAAAGTTCTCTCAGTCATGGTTAATCAATGCCTGGGAGCCTAAATGGTTATAAATATTTGATTTATGTTTCATAATTGATTCATCCCGAAGCAAAAGAGAGGGGAACACACGCTGACATAATTTTGTTGTAATTCCACTTAAATTATGTAACCTTAACCTTATTAGCCAAACTGGTACTGGTTTGACATTAAGCAGTGGGAATGCTCACAGATGGTGAGGGCTTGCTTAGCCATTGCTTCTTCCACACTTGTGTGGTGTATGTGAGGATACACCAGTGACAGTACTCAGTTTACAGGTTAATACAAGCAGCAAAAAAATTTGAGGAGAAAGAAACAAACCCACAAGTGTAATTTGGCTTTTTTGGGGTTTCTTTTGGTTTTTTTGAGTTTAGAAGTGATTCCTCCTTGCAACTTCACACACTCTTTTGCTTTATGAACCAACTTTATGTAGTCCTCATGGCAGAAATGGGTCTTGAGGAACAATAAAGAAATAAAGAAATCAGTCTTTCATCCTGTTCAACAACCAACAATTTTCCCTTGCCATATGATGAGGACAGATGTGGGAGGAAGACTAACTTCCTGGAGCAGCACAGGAGGTAGGCACAAAGCATCCACAATCTAATCAAGACAGGCCAGGCAATCTCATCTTTGTGCTTCTCCTGCCCCAGCCCTGCTTTAAATCCTCGTCTGCAATTAGTGATGACATGTTTCTAATCCTCTTCATACAAGCCATCAGAGGATTGTAACTTCATATGGGAAATGTCAGAGGAAGAAAAATACAGAACAAGAATCCTTCCTTCTTACAATAGCATTTAATACTGAAGAAGGAGGAACTAAAAATAAAAAACAGACAGACTGCAAGGGAAGTTTGTTTAGAACTAAATAACTCCAGCTGGGCTTTTGCCTGGCTTATTGCTGTTCCTTTGTGGGGCTGAGATCTTGTTTGAGGGTGCAGTTTATGCCTGCAAAAATTCATACTGAAGTAGTTGCACTTGTGAGTAGGTATTATCCTCTTTAGATAATAAAAGAAATAATGGTAACAGTCAGATTTGTTTCTAGAATTGAACAGTAGCTTAAAAACTGTCAACAGAATTACTCACAAAACCAACCATCCTACATATTTAACTCTTTGTTTTGCTGCCACTTCCTAGATTGCAAAGGTTTCTTTTAACTTCATGGCAATGAACACTGGAAAGGGATAATTAATTTATACACAGGTTATGTCATATAATGCTTCAGTCTCAGCAATATTTATCGTGCTCAGATAAATTTTGCTATTAATATTGTTATTATCATCATCATCACCACATTCCAATACAGAGGAAATAAATTTTGAACACATTTCTCTTTTTTTTCACTTGTAGCTGGGAGTTTTTGACATTTGAGCATCAGCTCTTTCTTCTTATTTTATGCATTTGCCCTCTAGCCATTGTCAACCCCTGCAGTCCTAATAATGAATTCCTCTTTATTGCAATGTCAGTGTGCTGTCATTATTGCAGACTTCTTCTCCTCTGGAAGGCTGTTTTGTAAGTTATTTCTGAAAAGGTATATACCACATACGTGTTTGGGATTTATAGGACTGTACTGATCCATCATTTTCTGGAACATCTGATGCAGCCACTCTAAATTTAAACAAAAAGAGAATTTTCATCCAGCTATGGATGTCAAGCCATTCTAGGAAGTATTATCTGCTTCTAACTCCTTGCTACTTTTGTACAAGAAACACAAACTCAGCTTGTGATCACAGAGAGATTTCTGTTTGCCTTTGCAGTAAGATCATAACTTTCTTTATGACACCTTCACTTCTTGCTGCCTTTTGAGAAGACAAAAAACTGTGTGTGATCTAAAACTCAGGTCTTCTGCGTGATAGGAAATGATGCTGCCAGCTGAGCTTTTAAAACAGATGTTAGGTTCATGGAAAGCTGTTTTCCTTCCATAATTATCCTGGAAAAAGGTAATATTTTAAAAAGTGTAATTTAGCATCCTCCACATGGTAAGAAAGTCGCTTTTATTCTTCTCATAGAATTATGGTATTTTTAATCACAAAGAAAGCTTTCCTTCCACACTTTTCACAAGATTTTTCCCGTTGTGTTTCACAAGACCAAAGCCTTCATAATATCAATGTCTTTGCTAAGAAAGGAGGGCTGGAAATGAAAGTTCTGTGTTTTGGTTACTGGCAGACTTCAACCTGCATAATAAATATTCAGACTTGAAGTAGGAGTACCCTGAGGCTTGAGAAGCAATGGAAACAATAAATGTGTTGCAGAGATGGAAGCACATCCAGAATTATTTCTGCTGGACTGCTTTCCTAGAGGAAGTTGCTGCCACACAGAAACTGAGACTGCTGGGATTTTGAGCAGATGTGAAATGACTTTATATTGGATAAAAAGAGGTTTGGGTTTTGTTCAGAAATAGTAAGTCCTTATATGTACAAAACAAATCTGCAAATATTTTAAAAGCTTGGGTTCTGTTTATTAAACAAAACAGAGTTCATAAGACTTGGGGTAATTCCCCATTTTTTTTTCTTATGTGGGGCTGTTCTACTATAAAAAAAATTGTAAATTACTTATCAATAGTTCCAAAAACCCTTATTTCTGCAATTTTGTAATGTCCTCTTCTCTGTCCTCAACCTATGGGAATCACTACTCTAAACCTGACCTCACTTAACTCACTGAACATTACCTGGGTTTTTTCAGATGATCTTAGAAACTTAAAACATAATTCTATATGAACATTGCTTGCCAGCTAAGATTCATCTTGGAGATGTCTGTTCAGTTCCTGTGCTGATCCCCTAGGTCCAGGGTGCTTACATTTCAATTAAGCTGAAAATGATAAGGCAATGATAATTAAATTATAATGATAATGATAAATGAAGAGGTAAAACAGCTCCATCCATTCAGCTGTATCATCAACACGGACTCCCACATCCTTCCCATCTAGACAAGGTTTTCACAAGAGCTTGTAGGCAGCCTGCAAATCTCCCTCACGGGCTGGCTGGCTGGCTGGCAGTGCTCCAAACAAGATAACAGAGAGCAAATAGTGATCAGAGCACCCAGGGGCCTCCAGATCCCCTTCAGAGGTCACTCTCCCCATTCAGACAAGAATGAAGTCATTGGATGGCAGTGCCAACAGTGAAATTCTTGACTCTGTAAGCACATGCATGTCAGAAATATTCCTTTTTGCATTAGAGGACCAGGAGAGAAATAGGGAATGCAACTGGAGATGGACTGAATGCAAAGACACATTTGAGATGAAGAAGAAAATGTGAATATGCAGAAGCTGAAAGAGAAGAGAAAGGGGAAAAAGACATACTGCAGGGGTAAGGCATGTATGAAAAAGACTTTGAGTTTGTGAAGAAACAGAGACTTCTTATTTGTTTAGAAAAGCAAAATAAAATGTCTGAGGTGTTTAGGTGCTGCCTAGATGTTGTGATACTTAAAATTCCCAGTTCTCTTAACTGGGAATGAAGGTGCAAGGTCTCAAACAAGAACTAATGCCTCCTCACCATCCATCCCTTAAGATGGAAATACTTCTGAGGATTTTAATATCACTCTAAAATTATCCCAGCTCTTGTGCACTCCTGCAGTCTCACTCAGAACAGAGTTTTGCTACATCTGAAGGAGTGTGTTGAGAGAAAAGGATGGAGGCAATGGTTACACCAACAACTTCCAAACAAGACCAGACAGAAGAGCCACTCTGCCTCTACTTTCAATCACTTAGATCAGTTACTGATGGTCTTCTGGTGGATGCTTATCGAGATACAGCAAAGCAGATCATCATATCCTGAGTACTGCATATTCCCACAGTAGGTCATGCTGGCCCCTCTGCCTTCTGTCCTTTCTGGCCTTGCCTACAGAGAGAAATCTGAATTACAAGAGCAGGGGAAAACAGAGCACAGGCACTCATTTTACTTTTTAAGCTCTATTATTACTGCAAATAAGTTACATTTTGAAGGTTAATGTTCTGTACAAAGCAGGAGACTTAATTTTTGAAAAATGTCTTACATCTACCAGTGGCATGGGTACAAAAGTATAAGAGCTTTTACTTTTCCAAGTTTTTGCAAGACATGCAGCACTGATGCTGTAACTCATGATTTGCTCAGTGCTCTCACCCTTCCTTTAGCAATAAGGAAACCAGAACTTCCCAAAGTTGCACTGGCAACCTCAAGAAACCACATCACCTACTGTCCTAGCCTACCACACAGAATCATAGAATTAGTAAGGTTTGAAAAGAACTCCAAGATCATAAAATCCAACCCTTGATCAAACACCACCTTTTCAACTAAACCACAGCACTAAGTGCCACATCCAGACATTTCTTGAACACTCTAGGGATGTTGGCCATAATGCCAACAAACAGGCCAGTAACCTCAAAACCTGCCCCAGAACACTGAGCTGTAAGAACTCATCTGATACCAAATAACAGCCAATTATATTCCAGATAAATTACCATGTTATTTGATAATGTGTGAAAAATTATTAGGTTTTATTCTCTTTTTTCCCAGGAAATCAATGATAGTTCCTTATTTTTCTCGTCACTTTTTCTTCTTTTTATTCATTTTTCTCACTTATTGCTGCTCTCCTTTGAAACAAGAACTGCTTTTGTTATCTGATTTTCTACATTTTAAGCACATTAGCTATTTAAAGATTTTATATTTAAAATTAAATCAGCCTACTCTTGGTAGAATGATATATTTCTGCACTTCACAGTGCAGACTTTTCACAGTGCATATTCCTTTGCATTATGTTTCCTCTTTAGGCAGTTGCTCGCCATGAGACACCGCTAACTGGGAAACAAAAAAAGATATTAAAGTTGGGAGAAGGCAAGAAACAATGCTTTGCACTTCAAACATCACATACTCTGGCATGTTTATCTCTTTAGCTTAATAACAGCAGGTTAATACAGCAAAATTCCAAGTGCCCCGGGCTCCTACTGCAGTGAGTGGGAGTTGACAATTAGCACCTGACAGATGCACTGGGGTGCTAAAAGCTTGAGGCACACTAAAACTGCTGGTTTGGCTAAACAGCACGGCCTTCCTTCCCCTTTCCTTTAACTGGTCATTTATCTTCAGGAAAGTACAAGTCAGGCCTTTCGATTTCTTGAGTTCCTCAAGTGGAGTCGATTTCTGGACTGTCCAATCCTGCAAGGCCCTTGCTGGTCATTAACTCCTTACAAAGTATTTCTGTCATCACCAGCTATGCTCTTATGTGAACTCTGGGAAGGGGGAGGTCCTGGCACTGATCTCTAAGCTTTTAAATAAACATTCCCAGTTATTTGAAGAGATCCTGAAAATTATTCTGAAAAATCATTTCCTTCCTCTGAAGTAGATATTGCCATTTACGGAGCCTATATTACGTTTTTGTGCTTTCTTGCAGGTTTTTGGCAGTATCCAGTGTTGCTAAGGATGATTTAATTCCTACTACCGGTCCTATTCCCAGAGGCAGCTTCTCCAAGGTGGCTCCTGACACAGGAAATGGTGAGTTGTTTTTTACCTTCACACAGAGAGACTTTATACATGTGTTTGTGGTGTACCTGCTTTAGAGACCAAGTTCATTTGGTTGGGTCTTCCATAGGGATTCTGCAAAGCAAGTTGAATACAGAGTTTTGCTGACCTCTGCCAGGCTGACCTTTCCTTAAAGCAGCACAAGAGGAGAGAAAAGTCTGCACTGCAAAAAGCCTCAAGTGGGAGCAGGGAAACACAGCCAAGTGAGGGTTGACCTGTGGGGTTATTGAAGGCTGAATGGGGCAATCTGAGCACACTCAGTGCAGTGGAAAGCTGCAGACCAGCCAGGAAAAGATGTCAAGGAGGACAATCAGTTGAGAAAAGGAGCAGTGGCTGACAGAAGGATGACTGAACAAATGAAGAATGTCTAGCCCAGTCTGAGAAATTCAGGCACTCCAGAAGCAGCTTAGTGTGCAGTCCTAGATCTGAGCGACCTTCTCCACAGCCCTGGACATTTAAACACTCAACATCTACTTTAACTGCGAGGAAAAAAACAATGGTGCCAATATAATGCTTCACTGCACAGATATATTTTAAAGACTTAACCTTTGCAAGACATTTTGAAGATGGAAAGCCCAAGAGCACAAAGATATTTTATGAGAAGACTTTTCTCAATTTTTGTATTAGCCACTGTATGCTCGATTTTATTTCTGGTTTTGCCTTGTGCAGATTTACCAAGTGACTTTTTCCATAGTCTTGTAGATTTTTAACAACAAAGATTAAATCCCAAAATCCTTGTTTCCTGTAGTTGTTCAAATACAACAGCTTAACATTGATAACATTTCAGAAAGGACAATTGGTTCAAATACAAAAATATTTAAAAACAGAAGGGTAAAACTTCTTACAACAGTAACAGGAAAAAAATTGTCATTTAACACTGAAACGTGAATAATAAAGCCAAAAGAAACAAAGTGAATCTTCAGCAACCATTTAATTGCCTGAGTAAATGAACATGAAATATGATTGCTCAGAAGTGAAAGTGAAAATTCCACATGTTGAGACAGAGTCATGTGCCACTCTGATATTCAGAGACTTTCTAAGGTATTTGATCACATTGGGATTTTTTTTGCTAGAGGAAGAAAAAGACTTTTAAGGCTGATGTGTTCCCATGTTCAGCTCTCCCTGCCTTCACCTATACCTACACCAGTTCTGACCCCTACCATCTCAGGATTGTGTCCACACTCTCAAATATACAGCAAATTGCACTTTAAAGTGCAATTTACAGTGAGAGGTAAACACAAGATTGCTACATTTGTAATAATGGAACAAACAAAAAAGGTCACTGGGTAGCTGTAAAATGGACTAAAGTCACCCAGTTGGCTCATGGTAGTGTTAATACCATGAAACATACAGATTTTAGTGAAAAATAGGTCAGAATAGGGGCCAGTTTCAGCCCTTACAAGCCTTTGCTGCTGCCATGAAGAATATATACAGAAAGACAAAGTTCCCAAATTTGTATTATTTCATACTTTTAAATTGGATTTTGTCTTGGCCAGGAATTCCTCCAAGTGCCATCTGTATACTTAACAGAGAAAAGGAAGACTTTTGTACCGTATCTGGAAAGTTCAGCAGATTCAGGTGTGGGGAGTGCTTGATTTGAAAGCTTCTCTTTCCTTTACTCTTATCATTTCTAAAACCTATTTTCTCTCTTCTACTTCCTGTTTTTTATGTAATAAGAGAGAAATTTTGGCTGTTCCTTAATTCTACTATAATACCTGTGATGACACTAGAGAGAGAAATTACCTGGTGGGAGAAAATGAAAGTGAGGTATAAACAGGGCTTGTTTCTGATGGAAATGGTTTTCCTGGGTGCATGCTGCTTCCCAAAAGACAATGACAGGCTGGCAGCTTGAAGAAAACAGGTCTTGGCAGCGCATGTTAGTGAGCCAAACATTTTCTAACACCTTGTGTCACACAAAGCACTTTCATACCATCTGTGCTCCAGCAATGAAGGGCTGTTCTGTCCCAGGCAGAACCTTTTGTCTCTGCAGAGTCACAAAGAAGCAGAGAGCAGCTTTGTAACACCTGTCTGAGGCTGGATGTGTGCAGGGTGTCAGCTCCTCCTGTGAATCCTCTGTGTGTCCCTGACTGCCCACAGCCTGCCAGGAGCAGCAGCACAGCTCGGCAGAGAGGAGGCAGATGGGCACTGGTTTTCTTGTTTAACGCTGCCTTGGCTGGCTGAATATAAGAAATAAAGATGGGAGGATGGGAGGAAGAAGGAATGCAATTCAAAGGCAAGCACGTGCCTCATTAGTGCTCACTATGCAAGTTCCTTAAACTCTGGGGAAGGCAAAAATATTTTTCAGCATGTTTTCAAATATTTATTTTAAAAAAAGGACTTTATAAGGACAACACATTTCTAAGATAAATAAAAGTATCACTATCTGCAACTTAAATAGAGACCAGGAGGGTAAATAGAAAGCATATCTTGATTACAATAAATTGCCTTCTTTGAGCAGCTTTGGTGTTTGTCATTATTAAGTTGTATGTTTCTCAGCACTGGAAGAAGGGAAATCATTAAAACTAACACTTATATAAGTAGCATAAAGGATTGTCCCTGATAATCACTATCAGGCACAGGTTTTGTGCTAGTAAACTCCCATATGCCTATGGCAATTTAAAACTAACCGTGTTGCCAAAATTTTATGTGATTTGTCAGAATTAAAAAAAAAATAAAATAAAATAAAAAAAATCTCTGGAAAAAGAAAACAGCCCTTCCCATGCAGTAAGCCCTAAATGCAATCTCTCCTTTCAGTATTGTCATCTTTGAGGCTCAATATTTTCCTCATTATCCTCCCTGTTTCATGGATTTTTTTCTTACTTTAATGAATTCCTGTTCCCAGTCACATAGCTATTTTCTTGGCTATCTTGCTTCATTATGCTGATGGAAGCAGCCTTTTAATTTAAGACATTATTATTAAAAGTAATGCATGAAAGGCTTATCTGAAAGATATATTGGGTTGGCAGTAGATGCAAATCAAAATGCAACTGTCTAGGTACTCAATTACGTATTTTAATGGAAGACTTTGAGTAAAGCTCAGGCAGGAAAGGAAAAAGTACTTATCAGCATCTATCATTTAAATTACCAGCATATTGGTAGACTGTTCCTATATTTCCTACCCCTCAAAAAGGCTGAGACTGAATATGGGTCAGTGGACAGCAGCTGGCTTGTGAAGTCTCCGTCCTTGGAATTCACAGCAGTTTTCCAGAAGCACAAGATATTCCTGCATTTTTTTTCTCCCATGTATTCAATACTTGCATCTTCCAACATCTGGTAGGCTACTTCATCTTTTGTAATCCATGTAAACATTTACCATCTACTTGCCTTTGAATGGACCCCATACTTTTTTTCTTTGGTGTCTTGGGAGATTCTCTCTGTGACTTAGGCTGAGGGTGCTCCACAAGAATGCACATGGAGTGATGCCTCCACTGGGGCACTCATCACACATTCAGCTGTCACAACCACATTTGGGGTTACTTTCAGGTTTCAAATTTGCAGGGCTTTTCTTCTCAGATCAGTACAGCACAAGTGGCTGAAGCTTATTGAAGAGGGTAAGAGCATCCTGCAGGCTCCTGCTGACCAAAAGCTCACATGACACAAGTCCTACATGAGCAGAAAGGATGTCAGCGAGTTTAACCCCTGCAGTGCTCCATGGAACTCAGCTCTTTGGAGATATGTTTGACAAGTTTGATATGTTCCTTACTGCTCAGCTTCCTGGCAGCCACCTCAGTCCAAGTCCTTTGCAATGCAGCAGAGGTTACAGGGATCTCTGTAATGCTGGGATCTGGGATCAAGCATCCTGAACAGAAAGATCAGAAAATAGGCACACAGACACTTCTAAAACCTGAATGAAGATTCTCTGTAACTTACTCCTTCCTAAAGAGGAATGAAATGCAGATTTTTAGAGCCAGCATTTAAGCTCACGTATTTCTGCACATGTAAGGAAAGCAAATGTGCTCTGAAAAAAACCTCAAGGTCATGGAGTACTCTGCTTCACTGTAGAAGCACCTCCAGCAGGACAGAGAAGTAGCTTGTCATCTCACTCTATAACTGATTCATATCTAATACACAGCTTAATTTAATTTATTTTTTTTAATTGCTGTCCATCTTTTTTATTTTATAGCAGTCTGTCAGCTGAAAACTGGCATGATGGTCAAACAAAATGTCACCATATAAATATTAACTCTTCTCTATTTGTGGTGGCTCAGCTTAAATGATTTCTGGAGTTTGTAGACAGCAACAATGCTGGTAGTGGTAAGTTTTGCCACTTGCTAAACTTGCTAGAGTTTATCACAACTTTTGGATCATCTACTTTTATTTCTGATCTCTGTACCTGCACTCAAAATTTTAACATATTTAACATTTTAACTAGACTTTTAACAGCAGCTTAACAATAAGTCATCAAAGCATAAAGTTAGGATTTAAAATGGAAATCTGAAATGAAGGGAAAGTTCAGATTGAAAATGGAAAACTGCAAAGAAGATAGGTCCTGCTTGCAAAAGGGTTTCATTTTGGCATGTTTCCTATTAATACAGAATAATTGCTTTAGCAGGGCTTTTTTGTTCAAATATTTAGGAATTTTCCTGACATTCACTCAAATCCTAGCAGCCTTAGCTACATTCAGAAGGACTGATAATTTAAAGATTGTTTTACTTTCACACAGTAGAGTTAATTCAAAGAGTTTTATCAAAATTCTCACCTGGTATATTTGACTTTGAGCTTATTTTAATTATACCGGAACCTTCTAACTTGTTAAAAAAGTCACTGAGATGCCAAACTTAAATCAGAAATTCAGGACAATTGGTACAAACACTGAGGCAGAAGAAGAGGACCTATCAGAAGACTGTACTTAATGAGATTTCCACAAGACATCTGAAATGCTGACCTTTGCCAAGTGCTTCTTTTATCATGTATTGGCAGAAATATGTTACTTCTTTAGGTTATGTATCTGCAGTAGAGTCTATCAGCTAAAA